TCTAAGACCAGCCATGCTCTAGCAAAAAGACTCCTCTGGTCACCTTCTTATCGCCATCCTTCCGTCCTTGGTTGAAAGAGAGGAAAAAATATCCTCTTCTCATAGTGGTTCCTCACGAATAGCTATTACGCCCCCATTCTATTCCTATAGGCTATGGAGCATTGGAAATAGTATTGGAAATTGGATTGCAACAATCATCTCATTCGAGAGAACCAGTCACGTACCCCCCCCACCCCATCCGCTGGAACACTCGCAGAATCAAAGCCATAAGAGTTAGGGGTCATCTGGCCAATGGCCAGTGTTAAGATTCAATAGGGGCTTGAACTGAAATGAAGATGTTGAGATTGATGAACACGATAAGATAAGAAAGGAATAGTTAAAAATAGGCACATTCACAAAATGGTAGAATCATTACTTCTATAAAATGAGAGAAAATTAACAAAAATGATTTTAGCCTTTACAACAAAAATCCATAACAACTCTAACAAGGAAGAAGACCACAACTAAGTGGATTAAGACATGGAAGCACGTGGTTTGACTGATAATATACTTTTGAGACTTGGGTTAAGGCTTTCTTGAGTTGTATTAAAAATGATAATTTATTTTGCAAATTGACAATTTGATTTATTGCACGGCACTTTTTCCACCAAGTCGGGGCCCATTGAGAGGTAAAGTTTTGAGCAAGTGGTAAAAAATCATTCAAAAAGTGGATTCCAACAATGTGAATCCACTCCATTATGGTGACCTTGATAAGTAACCATGTTTGTGTTGATTTCTGAATTCTAATTAGAAGAAATGAAGGAACAAGAGAAAGACAGCTAAATGAACAAACCCACAAGATACAATTACAAATATAATCGTGGTGCAAGCTAATTGCCGCTCAACACTCCTGCACAAATAGAGCAAAGCTAACTTCTTTATCGTCTGTTTTGTCCTATCATATTGCACTTGAACCAAACAAGCCCTAAAAGTAACATAATTTCTAGGAATCAAAATCAAAGGAAAAGGTTAAATTGTTAAAAATTTTGACATGTGACCGTTTTTTAAAAGATCCAAGTAATACCAATTAACCACATCTATTGAGCTACATTCAAAGATTGTTCTTTAAATTATGCCGTGCATTTTTAATTATTGAGTGATGTCTGCATTACAAGCCATCAACACATATCAATTAACTTAAAGGATCCAGATCCCAAAGTTGGACCACCCACCAAATGAAAAAGAAAAATGCACAATCCAATAATTAAAAATGTAAATGCTAATGAACCTGATTGTGATTCTGTAAAATGGAAGGATGGCGCAACAATTGCTCGGCTGTCCATCTTTTTCCGGGATCTCTCTGCAAACAACATGCAATGAAGTCCCGAAACGCCGGCGACGCCGTCTGCGGTGCCTCAGGCAGCGGCTCCACCAAGATGACGGTCATAAGACTCGCCCAATCGATCTGTTTCCCAACTGCAAATGGAAATCTACCCAAATACAACTCCAAGATGGTTAAACCAACACTCCAAAGATCGCCTTTGAACCCATCATACGGATAATACAGACTTGGATACATGTCCGTGCTAATTCTTTCTGGACTGATATATGCAATCGTCCCTGCGTCAGTCGTCTCCGGCAACATTCTTGACAATGCTATTCCGAAATCGGCTATTTTAACTTGCTTTTGAGAGTTGATTAATACGTTTGAAGGTTTGATATCTCTGTGCACGATCCTTTTGCTGTGGAGGTAGTAGAGAGCAAGGAGGATCTGACGAGTCACGTTGGCGAGGGAAGGTTCGTTGGGGATGTGGACCTTTTCGAGAGATCCGCCGTCCATGCACTCGAAAAGGATCTGAATCTCGCCGTCGTTTTCAAATACACCGTGACACTTCCACGTTGGGGTTGTCCGCCTCGCATGAGATCTCAATCTCTCGGCGGATTTTGCGGCGGATAACATCATCGTGAGTGTCATTGAACACTCGTAAGGCGTAGAACTTATCTGTAGGGCGGTGGAGGACTTTGTAGACGGTGCCTCTGCCACCGCTTATGATTCGACTGATTCGCTCCAGTTCCGAGAAATTAATCTGTGGCGATGACGAAGAAGCGGCCGCGGGAGGAGAAATAGAGGGTTCGGCTGGAGACCAGACCTTTTGGGTAATAGGTAGGGTTAGGTATGGCCGCCTCCGCCGTGGGCGGTAGATCTCGGCGGTGGCGGGTGGCGGTGGTTGAATGGGTCTCATCATGAGTCGGCGTTAATTTCTTTTCCTTCTTTAATAATTAATTTAGAATTAAGCCTACTAGTTTGGGGTTTTTTCATAGTTACCAACTCATTTATTATGGGAATTCTTGTGGGCTTCAATTCCAACGGATAAATAAATTGTTGTTGCTGACACTTTTTGATTTCTTCTTCTTCTTCTTGGAACCTCCAATTTAGTCAAAAGACTTCTAGAGAGAGGGAGACAAGAAGAGAGAAGGCGCGGGTAATTCAGATTTCGCATGCTGAGAGTTGTTGTGACATCAATTTATTAGTGCAGTGGGTAGTAGTAGTAGTTTGATCAAAGTCAAAGCTTGACTGGAGTTGGATTGGTAAGCTTATTTCATTTGAACCAAGGGGGACAATTTCCAATTGAAAAATGGTTCGAATACTACCACTATTATGATCAAAGTCAAAAGTTTGATTTACAGAATCTACAATTATTCTCACTTTGGTCTCATTCTAAGGAGACAATCATATCTTAATTAAGGGCTTTGTTAAGGCGAACGTGGCTTTACGTCGTTTGTCTTATTTAATAAAATAATAAAATAAATAATAGAATAATAAAGAATTAATTAGTAATAATATATATCTAAAAAAAAATGATATAATTTTTAATTAATTGACACTTACAAATTACTATTTATAGAAGTTTAAGTTAATTCAAACTCTACCACCACTAAAGTTATTTTTAGTTTGTAATTCTTTGATAAACAGTAAAAAAATAAAATAAAATAATTATTGGTGGCTTACAATTATCGATATAGTTGGTAAAAAAAAATGATATGATTTTTAATTAATTGACACTTACAAATTACTATTTATAAAAGTCTAAGTAAATTCAAACTCTACCACCGCTAAAGTTATTATTAGTTTGTAATTCTTTAAAATACAGTAAAAAAATAAAACAAAATAATTATTGGTGGCTTACAATTATCGATATAGTTGGTGGATAAAATAGGAATGCATAATAGAAAGACATTGCTTTCACAAGAAAACTTTATTTCCGGGTGTTTTGGGCCGGAAACGTTTTGAGGAAAATAATGGGTTGCAAGAATTTAAATTTTCCAACAAATGGGCAAATCATTAGTCTAGAATCAGAGAAAGTCGTTAATATCTACCTGGTATTTTTATCTCTATTTATTTTTTAAAAATTTGTATTAATGAAAATAAAATATTTATTGAGGATCAACATGCATGTGATACCAAAGGGGTTCGAGTTTTACCAACTAAAAAAATATATATTTATTGAGAGGAGTATCACATATCAATATATCTCGAATTATTATAAACTTTCTTTTTTCTAAAATTGGGTTTAGTGGTAGAGCAACATGTGAGTATTAATACTCTCTCTTAACACTTAAGCGTGTACCTCATGACGATTAACAATAATGAAATAAGTTGAGATATTTTGGACTGCTTTGAGGCTCCCTTCGTTCCTGCTCTATTGATATTTGATGAATCATTAAATCCAGACTCTTAGATTGAAAAATTATCCTACATAAAACTGAGTTTAGTGATGGAGTACCACGTAGGTATTAATACTTTCTCTTAACACTTAAACATGTACCTCACGACAGATTAACAATAACGAAATATGTTGAGATATTTTGGACTGCTTTAAGGCTCCCTTGGTTTATTGATATCATTCAATACAGACTCTTTGATTGAAAAAATAATCCCAGATATATTACAAAAAAATCTCAACGCATTGAATTAGTCCACACGTATTAAATAGACCAATTCTATTTAATAATTTCTCCCCTCCATAAATGTGTTTAATCACTAAGTTTTCATTTTTTTTTTATCAAAACACATATATTGATTCAAAATAAAGATTTTAAAAATAAAATTAGTTTATTTCTCCTTGAAATTTTAACTTAGCACTCTTTTAACTATATTTCTAAAAGCTCATTATTATGAAACAAAAATTTAAACTTATTATTATTATAGTCATTTTTTTTTATAACAATATTTATTTCTTTACGCCAAAAACCAATTGATGTCTTTCTATATAGATCGGTTGATATAATATTTTGAAAATTTTGATTTGTTAGGAAAAATAATCCCAACTTGTGATATGTTAGTGTTAGATACTAAAATAATGTACAAAGAACAAAATAAAAAATCAGATTTATGTGTCTCACTCAAATTAAGAGTGACAGAAAAGAAGAATTACAAATAGATCAATAAACAGTGGCCTCTATACATATCAATTGTGAAATTTATTCCAGGATACACGCATGGTAACTCCATGCTATATATATATATAATAAGTGTTGGAAGAAAAAAAATAAAAAAAATAAATAAAAATAAATAAATTGGGCTGACTCAGAGGAATTGGAATAATATTTTATTTATTTGAGAGAGAATCTTATTTCAATTTGAGCACAAGTTGGCTCCAGCTTGGTCCAATTGAATAAGAATTAAACTTGATTTTGAAAGTATAAATCAAGAAATGAATAATTCAATTATAATCTTTTGTAAATTGGCTAAATAACATGAATTTCTTATAATTTTAAATATAACACACCCTCTCGTTTAGACTTTATGAATGTTTTAAATGACCATTATAAATTATATTTTTATTGTTATTAATATAAAATATCTATTCAATATTTATTTATGAATAAAATAATTTTTTCTTGTCGAATTTTAATTAGATATTGAGCGTATGATATTACCACAAAGAGAAATATTATTTTGGTCTAAATCAGAAAAGAGATCATTGTTATATTTTAAATAAGATGCGAGGGGTCTTTGATTTAAAAAAATTATTATGAAAGCAAGTGAAATTATCCATCCCCAACAAAGAATTGCAATTCAGAACAACAAATATAATTTTTTTAAATCAAGAAATTAGGCAACCATTACAACTATACTCCTTTATGGAGATCGGAACCCTCTGTAACTTGTACTATGAAAGACTAGGACTCCAACAACGAGAATTAATATGAATGCTAATGAGCTTGATTGTGATTCTGTGCAATGAAAGGATGGCGCAACAATTGCTCGGCTGTCCATCTTTTTCGGAGATCTCTCTGCAAACAACATGCAATGAAGTCCCGAAACGCCGTCGACGCCGTCTGCGGTGTCTCTGGCGGTGGCTGAGCGAAGACTACGCTCATAAATATCGCAGAAATGCTCTGTTCCGCAACTGCAACTGCAAACGGAGATCTACCCAAATACAACTCCAAGACGGTTACACCAACACTCCATATATCGCCTTTGTAAGTATCACACACACGTCCACACATATCCGTGTTGATTCTTTCAGGACTTATGTACGCAATCGTCGATAAGTCAATCATGCAAGTCGATAATTCAATCGTCTCCGCCAAGCTCTTTGATATTCCAAAATGGGCTATTTTAACTTGGTTTTGAGAGTTGATTAATAGATTTGAAGGTTTAATATGTCTGTGCACAATCTTTCTGCTGTGGAGAAAGTGTAGACCAAGGAGGATCTGACGAGTGACGTCGGCGAGGGAACGTTCGTCGGCGATGTGGACCCCTTTGAGAGATCCGCCGTCCATGTACTCGAAGACGACCTGAATCTCGCCGTCGTTATCGAATACACCGTGACACTTGACCACGTTGGGGTTGTCCAACTCGCATAAGATATCAATCTCTTGTTGAATTTGGCGGCGGATAACGTAATCGTGAGTGTCATTCACCACTCGAGAGGCGTACAATTTTCCTGAAGGGCGGTGGAGGACTCTGTAGACGGTGCCTGTGCCACCGCTTATGATTCGACTGATTTGCTCCATTTCGGAAAAATTCAATGACGAAGAAGAGGCGGCGGCGAGAGGAGAAATGCAGGGTTCGGCTGGGGACCAAACCTGTTGGGTAATAGGAGTAGTAGTAGGTAGGGTTAGGTCCGGCCAGCACCGCCGTGGCCTGATGCTGTCGGCGGGTGGCGGTGGTTGGATGGGTCTCATGGTTAATATCTCTACTGTGTTTAATTAATTTAGAATTAACCCTTCATAGTTTGTGGGTTTTCATAATTACCAACTCATTTATAATTTGTCCGCCTTGACACTTTATGATTTTTTCTTCCTGGTACTTCCAATTTAGTCGTTTTTCTACAGGAGAGGAACATAGAAAACAATACTCCGTAATAGAGAAGGTGGCGGCTGGCAAATTCAGATTTCACATGTTTAAGTGTTCTTGTGACATGATTTTATTAGTAGTGGGCCGGCACTTTCAGCTTAGAACATTTGAACAGTCAAGGATAACAAATTCGGATTGAAAAATGGTGCCAATGTACTATTATTACTCTGATCAGTCAAAGTTTGATGAATTTATTCTCGCTTTAGTCTCTTTTTAAGCCGATAAATATTGACTTACGTATTGCCCTTTTAAAATAAAAATAATGATATAATAACTGGAATAATAATCTCTAAATTTCACACGTGATCAAAGATAAATAGGATTCATTATATGTCTTTTAAGGTGGAATTCAACATTCTCTCTCACCTTACATGACTTGGGTGGGTTTCGTCTTCAACCACACAAACTGGATCAAACTCCAAGTTTTAATCTTAGCACACTATGGCAACGATTTACAATTTGAGAACTCGTGCGAATAAAATCGATAAGTACAAACAAAAAATAATAATAATAAACATAAAAACCAATTAAAAAAAAAAAAGAAAAAAAGAAGAATCAGATAATGAGTTTTAATATATATATATATATATTTAAAATATGATAACACGTGAGAATTTTGAAAATTGTATTGGACCAAATTCCCAACAATTGGACCAGATTCCCAAATCACAACTCATGGGAACGCAGTCGATAGATTCAAACAAACAAATAAATATATGTGTAATAATGGAATGTTGTTAAGAAGAAATCTAGCCATCTTTGCTAATTTTATACTTTTGTTTTCTGATTAGGGAAACAATTTTAGAAGATAATGGCAACTTCAATGTATTAAGGTTTTTCCCAATTTTCCTTTTATTTTCTATACTTCATTTTTTTCTTTTCGTTTTGAAATCATTCATGGAAAAGAGTTTGGATTTAGATTGTAGATAAAAAATGGAACACTATTTTCTGTAAACAAAACTCATATCCAGAGGTTGAGGATAACTATGATTGGTGTAGGATCCACTCAAGACACGTGATGTGAGAGACAACTTTGAATTTTCATTCTTTAAAAATATTAACTATGTCATTAGATAAACTCAAACAAATAAAAAAAATAAAAAATCCTCTTTTCTATTGGATGATTCGCGAAAAAATCCGTATAATTCAAGTTTAATTTTTTTTTAATTTTTTTGGACACATGTCATGCAAATGTTAGACCATATCTGTAACGACCCTAACTGATGCCAAAATAAATAAATAAAAAATCGGCATGACCTTCGCTAAAAATCATCCTACAATAACCTATTTAAAAGAATGATAAACCTGTTCCAACACAAATATCATATAATACACTCCATGGTGGTGTAACCACATACTATATCATTCAAATATCATAATTACAGTCCCAAAATACAAGATTAATATCGAACGTCCATGTTTTATAACGTTTATACAACTTATGCTAAAATTACAGTATATAATTATAATTACGATAACATGGGTCCACAAACCTCTATGCCGAATATAACAAACTAAGGTTTTACAAAAATATGTGACTTAGTACACAAAATGGCAAAAAGTCTTCTAATCCAAATTAGCCCTGTAGTGGAACGTCATCCGCCACTTCTTTTCCGTTTCCTGAAAAAAATTTATTAAATAATAGGGTGAGCAAATTGTTCAGTAGGTAGTACCTAAGACACACCCCTTGTGTCATCGTGAATCCAAACAAATAATAGGACAATAGGAATTTGGGGTCATGCAGAGCCGGGAAAACACAATATCAATTCTAAGTTCAAAGCAAATAAATTTCGTGCCATGAATGCAATGTTATGCATGTCACTCCCCCATTTTCAGAAAATATCATTACTTCACAAACTGTTAATATAACCCGCCCTTTGGTGACTCCGCAGCGACACGAGAGAAGGATTGGCTACTGTCCCCGACCTTTGGTACCCCCGCAGCGTCATTTGGGGCCCAGGTAGCTCAACCACGCTAGGGCAATCTCCCTAGTTCCCTCTAGGCTATATTAACACACCGGTCCTTTGGTGACTCCGCGGCGACCGGATTTTTCTCAAAAGCCGTTTCATCAAATTCTCTCCAAAATCCCCTTTTTCTTTTATTTCAAAACACTTTCCCTTTTCTTTCATGCCCAATGCTTGTGTGCATATATGGAAATGGAGAGAATTTTTTTAACGCACAATTTACAAGCTTTTACATAATTTCTGACAAATTAATTGGCATAGAAAACTAACACATTAAGCATGTTTTTATTTTATTTTCTTTCATTTTATTATTATTATTATTTTCATACCATTCAATTAAATACACATTATAATTCAATTAAATACACCTTCTCACATGTTTCATATATATAATCAAGTCACTTTAAGGAACAATTATCACAATATAGCATGCTAGAATACTAATAGGATACTAATCAAGAAAAAAAATAATTCACAAAGGGGTAATCATCACAATTTAGCATGCTAGGACACTAATCAAGAACAATTAACTCACAAAGGAACAAGATTGTAGGAATTAGAGACCCCTACCTCACTTTTAAGCAAAATCCCCAATTTCTTCACCTCAAACCCTAGGATTTCGAATCTCCTATAGTGCACCAATCAAAGAATTGCTCCTATCAACGTGTTGATCTCGTCGTGGGCTTCGAATAGCCGCAAACGGCTCTTAAAAAGACCAAGAAATGAGGGAGAAATCAAGAGTGGAAGTTGCAAAAGAAAAAGAAAAAAGAAATACAGAGGCAGCGAGAGAGAGAGAGAGACCTGCCGAGAGAGAAAGTGTAATGAAAACAAAATGGGTCTTCATCCCATTAACCACATGTGCCTTAAAATAAGGTGGGCCCCACAGCTAACATAAAATAAAAAAAATCTTTTAACATAAATATATAAGATACAGGCATTACATTCTCCCCAACTTTAAAAAAGATTTCGTCCCCGAAATCAAGACATACCTGGAGAAGAAAACAACTTTGGATACTTGGAGCGAACCTCCTGTTCGAGCTCCCAAGTAGCCTCCTCGACTTCGTGGTGTCTCCAAAGGATTTTTACCATCGGTATCGTCTTCTTCCTCAACACCTTCTGTTGTGTGTCAAATATCTGAACTGGTCCTTCCTCGTAAGGAAACATCCTCATCAATGTCTACATCAACCCAACTCAAAATGTGAGATGGATCTGGCTCGTACTTCCGTAACATCGATACATGGAAAACATTGTGGACCCTGTCCAACTGTGGTGGCAAAGCAAGTCTGTAGGCAACCTCTCCTACACGGTCCAAAATCTCAAACGGTTCAATGAATCGTGGCGACAACTTGCCACTTTTCCCGAATCTCATCAATCCCTTCCGTGGAGAAACCCGTAGAAAAACATGGTCTCCCACCTCAAAGGATAACGGCCGTCTCCACTTATCCGCATAACTCTTCTGTCGGCTCTGAGCTGTAAGTAACCTCTGTCTTATCAACTTAATCTTCTCAGTAGTCTCGAGTACAATGTCAGGTCCTAAGGCGGCTGTCTCGCTTACCTCAGTCCAACAAACAGGAGACCTACAAGGTCAACCATACAACGCCTCAAATGGAGCCATCTGAATGCTCGCCTAATAACTGTTGTTGTAGGCAAACTTAATAAGTGGAAGGCGATCCTCCCAACTACCACCCAAGTCAAGCACATATGCCCGAAGCATATCCTCCAAAATCTGGATAGTACGCTCCGACTGACCGTCTGTCTGTGGATGGAATGCCGTACTAAGATGCAACGCTGAACCAAACGCTGCTTGAAGTCCTTCCCAGAACTTCGAAGTGAACTTAGCATCCCTATCTGACACAATGGTTACAGGGACTCCATGTAACCTTACAATCTCTTTCACATAAAATACACCAAGCTTCTTTGCATCGTCTGTTGCCTTAATAGGCAAAAAGTGAGCCGTTTTGATCAATCTGTCAATGATGACCCATACGGACTCATTGCCCCTTCGTGACCTTGGAAAACCTGTCACAAAATCTATAGCGATATGCTCTCATTTCCATTGCGCTACAGGTAATGGTTGCAACAAATCTGCTGGCCTCTGATGCTCGGCCTTCACCTGCTGACAGGTAAGGCATCTAGCCACAAACTGTGCAACATCATTCTTCATCCCGCTCCACCAATACTGACGTCTCAAATTGTGATACATTTTAGTACCACCTAGATGAACTGCAAAACGGGAAGTGTGAAACTCCTGTAGGACATCCTCATGACATATTGTGGGAACCACCAACAAACTCCTGAACCGTAGACCCCCATCTGCATGCAAGGCCCAATCTTTCACTGTCTCACCACTAGAGATTAAAGCGTGGATGGCATCTAAGTCCGGGTTCTGTCTCTGTGACTCAATCACTCGTACAACAAGAGTAGGCTGAGCCACAAGATTAAATAAAAATGCTGACTCACTGTAACCATCATCATCAAAACACTGTAATCCCATCTCTGCCAGATCTTCAAGCATCTTCCACTTCTGAATAGCTAAACTGGCCAAAGTTCCATGAGATTTTCGGCTTAAGGCATCAGCTACAACATTTGCCTTGCCCGGATGATACTGCAAATCAAAGTTGTAATCTTCCAAGTACTCAACCCATCGTCTCTGTCTGTTGTTCAAGTCCTTTTGGGAAAAAAGGTACTTGAGACTTTTGTGATCTGAAAATACCTCGAATCTCTCACCATACAAGTAATGTCTCCAACACTTCAAGGCAAATACAACTGCCGCTAACTCCAGGTCATGAGTAGGGTATTTGTACTCGTGAGTCTTCAACTGTCGAGACCCATAAGCCACTACTCTACCATCCTGCATCAATACACATCCCAACCCGTCACGTGAAGCATCA